GTTCTAGTCCCGCCTTAGGCTTTTGGGCCAATCACTAGGAGACGGGGAGTTCTAGTCCCGCCTTAGGCTTTTGGGCCAATCACTAGGAGACGGGGAGTTCTAGTCCCGCCTTAGGCTTTTGGGCCAATCACTAGGAGACGGGGAGTTCTAGTCCCGCCTTAGGCTTTTGGGCCAATCACTAGGAGACGGGGAGTTCTAGTCCCACCTTAGGCTTTTGGGCCAATCACTAGGAGACGGGGAGTTCTAGTCCCGCCTTAGGCATGATAGCCCGCTGGGTCACCTTGGGCTAGTCTCTCTCACTCAGCCCAACTCAGCCCAAAGGGTGTTTGTTGTAGGAAAAATAGGAGGAGGCAGGAGTACAGGTAGTCCTTGACTTACGACTACCAATTGAGCACAAAATTTCCATTGCTAAGCGAGACAGTTGCGGAGTGAAATTTGCCCCATTTTGCAACCTTTCTTGCTACAGTTGTTAAGTGAATCGCTGCAGTTCTTAAGTTAGTTAAGACCGTCGTTAATTGAATCTGGCTTCCCCCTTGACTTTGCCGGTCAGGGGGGATCCCGTGACCCCCAGAACGCTGCCACGGTTGTAACTATGAATCGTTTAAAAAAGCATCCGAATTTTAATCACGTGACCATGAGGACGTTGCCATGGCTGTGAGAAAGATGGTCACGAGTCAGTGATGTTGTAACTTTCAATGGTCCCTAAATGGACTATTACAATGATGGCGAACCTATGGCACGCGTGGAAGAGGCGGCACTCAGAGCCCTCTCTGTGGGCACATCTGCTGCCACCACCGCCAGCTTGCGCAGGTCCATTAGGCCAGGGCTTTTCAACCTTTTCACCCAGTGTACCACTTTTAGGATTTGGCAATATCCGAGCACCACCAGTCGCCTAGCAAGGTGTCAAAAACTTGATGACCAAAAAGGAAAAAAGTGATGAAGTACAGGTAGTCCTCGACTTACAACAGTTCTCTTAGTGACTGTTTGAAGTTACAAGGGCACTGAAAAAAGCGCCCCCAAGCCACAGCCGAGCAAGACACCTGCCTGCCCAGCAGCGCTCTTCCTCCTGTCTGAGGTTTTCATTGTTGTGAGCATTTCTGTTGGGGATTGGCAGCGGGGGTGGGGTGGGGGGTGTTTGCTTTTTATTCCCCCCGTCTGCTGGGTGGTTGCAGCAGGTTTTGGTCACCTCACCTGACCCTGGGACACTGTGACCGTCATAAATATGAATCAGTTGCCAAGCCTCTGAATGGAAATCACAAGACCCTGGAGAGGCTGCAACATTCCAGCTGATCGGCGCTTCTTCTGGGCTCAGCGGAAGCGCCAGGATCAGCGCTGAGCTCCAGCTGGATCCTGGTGCTGATCCTGGGGCTTCCGCTGAGCCCCGACAGCCCTGCAGCTCCAGCCGTCTCTCGCTCAGGCTTGTGCGGTGCTGCCACTGGTTCAGCTCATTCCCCTCCCCCGCTACCCCTTTTCTAGGATGGTCGCGTACCACCTGCCAGGTGCCCATGTGCCACAGGTGGTACCCCTACCACTGGTTGAAAAGCCCTGCATTAGGCCACCGCTGGCACCCAGAATGGCAGGCCTACCCAGCACAAAGGAGGCAAAGCAGCTGGCTAGGAAGCTCGAGTAGAGGTGGTAGAGAACGCCCCCCATGTGCTCGCTGGCCTCTGTGTGCGGGGGCTGATGGTGTCAGGCAGCAGCCCCCCCCGCCTTGCTCCGCAGCAATGGCACCCCTGCCCCACCCCGCAGGACGAGCCTCCTGCCCACTGCCCCACCCACCAGAGACCCCCTGGATCTCCCCCAATCCTGCCACGCCCACCCAGTGGGCCACGCCCACCCCCAACCCGGAGGGCACCACAATGCTGATGCGGCCCTGGCCCTTTGCGATAAATAGGTGGGTTTCGGGTTGTGGTTTGGGCACTCGGTCTCTAAAAGGTTCGCCATCACTGAACTATTATACGTCGAGGACTATCTGTATTAGTTATGTTCCCTGGCTTGGGTCGTTTGTAGAAATAACAAAGGCGGGATACGAATAAACGTAAAAACGCATTACACCTGTTTGAAAGCAAGGCGGAACGGAGCGAAACTACGTGGAGTCCAGGTGACGACAAAAAGAGGCTACTTCTGTTTGTTACAAGCGGGAGAAAAGGCTTATATTGAGATATCTGAAGTGCCCCAAACACACTCACACACACACACAAGACGGACGAAAGCACGAAATGCCTGACGGACAAAGAGGCAGGCGGCCGTAGCAGCAACGCAACTCACTTGCTACTCCTGACGCGATTCCGTATAGTAGTCCCCCTCCTTCGGACTCCGGCTGGAAGACATGGGAGCTGGGAGGAGGGCTCCGCTCTTGACGGATGAAGTTGTACAGCAAGGTTTTCACCAGTCGGCTGGTGTACGCGAGGCTGGCGACACAAGAGAGCCAAAGATTTAGGGGGGGGGGAGGTTGGGACTGCGCTTGGAACCAAGTCAAGTCATTCCTTTCGTTTCACTCTGTTCTGCAAAACTGTCTAAAAAAGGCCAAAGTTTAAAAATGCTCTTTTAAAAGTGAAAATGGATCACTTAAGACAGGGGTCCTCAACCTGGGCCACTTTAAGACTTGTGGACTTCAATCCCCAGAATTCCTCAGCCAGATAGGAGTTGAAGTCCACAAGTCTTAACGTGGCCCAGGTTGAGGACCCCTGTCTTAACAGATACATCTCAAGTTAAAATTCAATGTTTCTTAAGCTTGGCGACTTCAGTTCCCAGAGTTCAAAGTCAAATTCCCCAGCCAATTCTGGGAATTGAAGTCCACGCATTTTAGAGTCGTTAAGCTTGGGGAAAAAAACACTGTTTTGACGGGATGTCTTGCTAGATCAGTGTTTCTCAACCTTGACCATTTTAAGGCACGTGGACTTCAACTCCCAGAATTCCACAGCCAGCATTGCTGGCTGTGGAATTCTGGGAGTTGAAGTCCACGTGCCTTAAAATGGTCAAGGTTGAGAAACACTGTGCTAGATACTCTTAACTCTGGGGAGTCAAACTCAATTTCATTGAGGGCCGCATCAGCATTGCGGTTGCCCTCGGGGAGGGGCGGGTGGGTGCAGTCAGGGTGGGTGCAGCCTACTGGGTGGGCATGGTGTGGGTGTGGCCTACTGGGTGGGCATGGAGTGGGTGTGGCCTACTGGGTGGGCATGGAGTGGGTGTGGCCTACTGGGTGGGCGTGGCCAGCTCTACATCATTCGCGTCAAGGGGGCCTGTGGGGGCCTGGGCAGGAGTGGGACAGATCTGGGGGTCTCTGGCAGAAGGGGGGGGACCAGGGCAAGCGCCAAGGCAGGGTCCATTTCTTCATTCCTCACAAAGGGGGACCCCTCCCCAGCATGCACCAAGGGGACGGGGCCGATGTGGCAGGGGCCGGTTCCTCGCTGTTTCCAGACGGCCTTGTGGAGCTAAGACTGAATGCGTTTCAGCATAGATGGCCACCACAAAATTGTACATTGGCTCCTTCCCGGCTGGCCTGGGCCAGGGCCAAGGCAGCGGGGGCCGTCCCCTCACTGTTTCCAGGATGGCTTCGCAGGCCACATGAAACCACTTCGCGGGCCACATCCAGCCCCCGGGCCTTGGGTTTGACGTGTCTGTTTTAACTCTTCTGGATTTTAAAAAAGCGAATATATGTTAAATGTGTTAACAGAGGTGCTAAAAATAAGGTGCCAGTCTTTCACACTGTGAAAATAAACACAAGTTTCCCACGGCCTTTTTATACATTCAGAAATCGTTTCAGAAAATAAAAATATTTGTTCTATTTGTTCTGCTACAGGGACACAAAAGACAGTACAGGTACAGAGCAATGAAGGCAGAAGAAATTTGTGTATCTGGGGCAGCCTGCTTAGATCCTGGTCCTAGTATACTCAAAATACTGAAATGTCCACTCTCTAGAGATTCACAGAAAGAAAAATGGTAAATGATTCCCTGCGAACTAAAATTTTAGGCTTGGTGCATTCTAAATATTTGAAATATACAGTTGTGGCCAAAATTGTGGGAAAGTGTATTTTTGAGGTTGGATGGCTAATAACACCACTTTTTTTTTGAGTAGTGCCATAAAATTATATATCAATGGAAAGATAATTTAATCAAGAACGTAACGCAACAAAGTTTGTTCAATTATCTGTACTGTATTCTGTGAAAAGTTATAGCCAAATAACCAGAAAAAGGAAGCACAACTTGCTTAGGTGGATATCAGATAGCTGTCCTTCCTCTGATTGTAGCCAATGAGCACGAGTATTTAGAGAGCCAATCAGGTGTCATCTTGTTTTGGCAATGAGCCAATCAGATCACAGTAGGATCCAGTGATTGATGTCACGTATTGAAGCTGAGAGGAGGACCTTTGTCAGTGTGTTATGTGATGGCTATCAAGTTGGTTGGGTTTTTTGGTATTCTTTCACTTAGTGAGCTTGCAAAACGTAATAAAATTAAAGTCATGGTGCAAAGAGTTGACTGGTCGCCCAGAAAGCGATGTAAAATAATATTATTAAGGGAACAAGGCTGCAGTCATAAAGAAATTAGAAGAAAAATGGGTGGAAACTTAACCAAAAGTGGCATTTCTACTGTACACTTTTCCCAAAAGGTTTCCACAATTTTGGCCGCTACTGTAGTTCCCACAACCTCTTGCCGTTGGCCCTGCCAACTTGGGTTTACGGAAGCTTGCTATGAAAAATGTAGAGCCCTTCTAATTCACTCCATATCCTAAAAACTATGAAGTGGAAAAGCACACAGTAATTTCATCTCCGCGTATTTATTTAACAACCTGTTGGTTTAGCTGAGATAAAAGTAATCCTTATCTGCCCAGAGAGTCAATCTGTTATCAGCCTGGGAGATCTTTCAGGAGCACAAATTAACCTGCAGCTAAATAAAAGTATTTGCTTTGACAGAGTAAATGCCAGAGCCGTGCTCATGAAACTGAAGAATAAAGGCTGCCTGCTTATAAAGTAGCCCTGCAGTCTGACCTACCATCGGCCGCGCATGAGATACTGATAAATGATGCTCTTCCGCAGAATTTCCTTGTGGAAAAGCTGACAGGACAGAAAAACGACCAGGGTTGTCACAGCCTCCAGTGAAATGCCGTAGGTAATGTCTCTGCAACACATGAAGACGTAAAGCGTTAATCAACACCAATGAATACATATTTACTGGCAGTCTTTCTGCACGTTGTATGCAAATATCAGGTTTGCAATGAACCTGGCTCGAAAAAGTCATTGGCAAAGAAACTTCCCCAATTCTCATTGGCGCTAATCCACAGATTCTCTTCCTTATGCATTTACAAATAAGAAAACCCTGAAAGGGGAAAAAAAACAAGAAGATAACCAACTCAAGGGAAGAGACCTTATATCATCCCGGTCAAATTGCTGTCTGCCTGATGCCTTAACCCAGGGGTCAGCAACCTCGGCTCTTTTAGGACTGGTGGACTTCAACTCCCAGAATTCCTGAGCCAGCCGTGCTGAGGGGAAAGGGAGAGGTTTCCAAGCTGAGCCAGGCTGGCTCAGGAATTCTGGGAGTTGAAGTCTGCGAGTCACGAAGGGGCCATAGTTCCCCCATGCTGGCTCAGGAATTCTGGGAGTTGAAGTCCACAAGTCATGAAGGGGCCAAAGTTTCCCTCATGCTGACTCAGGAATTCTGGGAGTTGAAGTCCATGAGTCATAAAAGGGCCACGTTTGAAGACCCCTGATATAGGGCAGGGGTGGGGAACCTTGGTTCTTTTATGACTCGTGGACTTCAACTCCCAGAATTCCTGAGCCAGCCATGCTGAGGGGAAAGGGAGAGGTTTCCAAGCTGAGCCAGGCTGGCTCAGGAATTCTGGAAGTTGAAGTCCACGAGTCATAAAACGGCCTAGGCCTAGGCCACAAGTAGACAACCTTGGCTCTTTTATGACTGGTGGACTTCAACTCCCAGAATTCCTGAGCCAGCATGGGGAACTATGACCCCTTCATGACTGGTGGACTTCAACTCCCAGAATTCCTGAGCCAGCATGAGGGAAACTTTGGCCCCTTCATGACTGGTGGACTTCAACTCCCAGAATTCCTGAGCCAGCCTGGCTCAGCTTGGAAACCTCTCCCTTTCCCCTCAGCATGGCTGGCTCAGGAATTCTGGGAGTTGAAGTCCATGAGCCATAAAAGAACCAAGGTTGCCTACCCCTGCCTTAATCACTAAACCAAATTGGCTCTTTCCATCCCACAAAAAAAAAGAGAAATTTACACATATGAAGAAGGGTTGCAAGAACTGGGCATGGCTAGTCTAGTGAAGGGAAGGACTAGGGGTGCCATGATAGCAATATTCCAGTGTTTAAGGGGCTGTCACAGAAAGGAGGGGGAAAACCTATTCTCCAAAGCACCTGAGGGCAGGACGAGAAGCCACGGATGGAAACCGATCAAGGAGAGAAGCAACCTGGAATACTAAGGAGAAACTTCCTGACAGTCAGAACAATCAACCAGTGGAACCACTTTGCCTCCAGAAATCGTGGGCGCTCCATCACTGGAGATTTTCAAGAAAAGACTGGACAGTCACCTGTCTGAGATGGTATAGGTTCTCCTGCTTGAGCAGGAGGTTGGACTAGGGTCCCCAACCCCCATTCTGTGGCCCCATGCCGGGCCCCAATCCATTCAGAACCGGGCCACGGAAGTGGTGTGCCACTGCACGAGCACAAAACTGCATTTGTGAAAGCGGCGCATGCATGCAACATCATCCCTCTGCCCCTCCACCGCTGCCCGTCTGCCGAGCTGCAGCGGTTAGGGAGACCAGTGGACTAGAACGGAGGTCCCCAACCTTTGGGGCACCAGAGATCACCGGTTCCGTGGAGAGAGGTTTTTCCACGGACCGGACGGGGTGTGGTTTTGTGTGCTGCCTGCATCCCACGGATGGGGCTTTGCTTGTTTGTGTGGACCGGTTGCTGGCATGCCGTGGACCGGTACCGGGGGTTGGGGACCCCTGGACTAGAAGACCTCCAAGGTCCCTTCTAACTCTGTTATTCTGTTTATGTTTCTTTAAAAACATCTACATGGCTCTCCTTTCCCATATTTCTTGAAAGCTCAGCTCTGCACATGGTGAGGAGTCCCAAATCCAGAGGGTCGAAACCCAAGTTTGGATTTTATCCGGGTCCACCGTGCCATCTCCTATTTAAAACTTTATAAGCACTACAGAGTCTCATCTCAGAAGCAATTCCTTTGAATCAGTCTGGCTGCCCCTTTTTTGTACCTCGCACTTAACGGGTCCTTAATTTCAGCAATTTGTGTGTGGCAAGTACATTTTATCTCAGGCTTTTCAGCCTGGCCGATCTGCGATACCAAAACAGGGCATCAAGGCTTCGCAATGTTTATACCAGGGGCTCGCAACTTTATGATGCCCAGATGTTTTGGGCCGATAAGAGCGGCAGGATAACAATATTTGGGTGCCCTTGTAGGGAATCACTGACCTATCGACTTGTCCCACGTCAGCGTTTCTGAGCAAAAGCCACTTCTTACTCATCAGCTCCTAACAAGTAGAATTTCACCGGAAGCATCCGAGGTTAAAAGTTCGCTAATTTTGGAAAGTTGCCAGAAGAGACGGAGTCAAATAATAAAGGGAAGAGGGATTGATTGCCACACATCCTGAGGGTTGACCAGAAAGGTGGAAGACAACGTGCCAAAGATGCTGAAGCCAGTTCAGGATATTGAAAGGCAAAGGCCCGTGTTTGGTGATCTTTGGGGAACGCGATCTTTCCTGTTGGCAACGCTCTCCAAATTCTCATCCGCTAATAGCAAACATGCATGCAAAGAATACACTGGCGATGGTTGTTTGAGAAACGTTTAGGAAGCTTCTCAGTTTGCTTCTAAAAAAAATAACTGGAAGCCAAAACCCAACGGTGACCTCTCCTGCCATCCTCTGTTTAAAAAGAAAGGACAGGAAATATTCCCAGTGAATGCTTCCACCTCCATAGAAAAGAAGGGAGGGGGATTCAGCAGCTACAAAAGGGAATTAAGATGTCTTTGCTCGTTGAGTCATTCCCTGGAACGCGGACAAAACCTCAAGACGCTCAGCGCTTCCATTTCTCCTCCTACCTATGTTTATATTCATCCATAAAAATTAAAACAAGAAATATCTATTACATTTAATCGCTACCAGTCCCAGTCTTGTCCCAAGTCAGCCATTCTATAAAATAAATAAATAAATAAATAAATAATAATAATAATAATAAAAGTTGGAAGGGACCTTGGAGGTCATCTAGTCCAACCCCCTGCTCAGGCAGGAAACCCTACACCATTTCGGACAAATGGCTGTCCAGTCTCTTCCTAAAAACTTCCAGTGTTGGAGCATTGACAATTTCAAGTGGCAAGCCATTCCACTGGCTAATTGTTCTAACTGTCAGGAAGTTTCTCCTTAGTTCCAGGTTGCTTCTCTCCTTGATGAGTTTCCACCCGTTGCTTCTTGTCCTGCCTTTGGGTGCTTTGGAGAATAGCTTGACTCCCTCTTCTTTGGGGCAGCCCCTGAGACACTGGAAGACTGCTATCATGTCCCCCCTCGTCCTTCTCTTCGTTAAACTACTAGACATGCCCAATTCCAGCAGCCGTTCCTTATATATGTTTTAGCCTCCAGTCCCCTGATCATCTTTGTTGCTCTTCTCTGGACTCTTTCTAGAGTCCCAACATCTTTTTTACATCGTGGTGACCAAAACTGGATGCCGTATTCCAAGTGTGGCCTTACCAAGGCCTTGTAAAGTGGTATTAACCCTTCACGTGGTCTTGATTCTATCCCTCTGTTAATGCAGCCTAGCACTGTGTTGGCCTTTTTGGCAGCTGCAGCACACGGCTGGCTCCTATTTAGGTGATTGTCCACTAGGACTCTGAGGTCCTTCTCACAGTTACTACTATTGAGCAAGTGACTGTACAGCCTCTTCTTTAAGACCTCCATTGGTGGAGCGCCCACCATTTCTGAAGTATGTGGAGACCTCCCTTTTCAAGGCGACCGTGAGGCCTGGGGGTTGAGGGTATTGGAATCGAAATGCGTCTGGAGGGAACCCCAAGGGAAACAGAACATTCAAAATCCACTTACAGAAGAGGAACCTCAACAATCAGCTGAACGAGGCAGCAGAGCAATTCTTCCAGAAGATCTTCATATTCAGATGCTAAAAGAAAATAAGGAAATTTTATTGGATATTTCAACATTAGCATAGTAATCTTTCTTCCGATCTTTTACAGGGACAAATTTCATCCAAACTTCCAGTTACCAAAGTTTAAACTTCAACATCTTTTTTGTAAATAGGCCATTTTTTAAAAATGGCTCAAAAACAGCAGGTTGAAATACAGGCTGGGAATTGGATTCAAATCTAAAATTCCATTTTTTCAGATGGTTACTATTACACCACCTGAATGGCAAAAAAAATTAGTTCTACTTATCTAGAAATTGGTTAAAAGCCTATATCATACAGAAATTAAACTGTAAGGAAGGAGCTTATGGAAACATTTTTGGTAGAAAAAGAAAAAAATGAACAGAAACCTAATCTATAATTCTTTTTGCTTTGTCATTCAGTTCCATTCAAGCAAGTATTATTCTTTGCAGAATTAATAAATCAAGGCTTAATTCTCCAAGAAAATTTGCACAAGGCCAATTTTGGTCTTGTTTCAAGTCACTATAATTCCCAATCAACAAAACAACTGCTTTGTAGTTTATTCAGGCTTAAATACTGCAGTACATAACTACGCAAAATAAGTAAAGTTTCTTTGCTTAGTCCAATATAGGTATCAGATGAGGTTGACTCCCTTATATTTTAATGTAAATCTACAGAAAAACAGATCGTGGCATACCCTGATTTCAAGTTACTGATCTCAGCATACAGAGTTGAGAGACTTAGATAATAATAATAATAATAATAATAATAATAATAATAATAATAATGATGATGATGATGATGATGATGATGATGATGTTGTTGTTGTTGTTGTTGTTGTTGTTGTTGAAAGGAACCTTGGAGGTCATCTAGTCTCTAGAGTCTCAACATCTTTTTTACATCGTGACCAAAAGTGCATGCCGTATTCCAAGTGTGGCCTTACCAAGGCCTTGTAAAGGGGTATTAAAACTTCACGTGATCTTGATTCTCTCCCTCTGTTAATGCAGCCCAGCACTGTGTTGGCTTTTTTGGCAGCTGCAGCACACGGCTGGCTCATATTTAGGTGATTGTCCACTAGGACTCCAAGGTCCCTCTCACAGTTGCTACTATTGTGCAAGGTACCCCTATACTATAACTGTACATTTGGTTTTTCTTGCCTAAATGTAGAACCTTGCTTTTTTCACCATTGAATTTCATTTTGTTAGATAGCGCCCAGTGTTCAAGTCTGTCCAGATCCTCCTGTATCCAAATTGACCACCTTCCATTTCCTTCCATCATCCAACACCCCAGGTGATAGGCTCAATATCCAGATCAGGGGTTTTCAAACTTGGCCCTTTTATGACTTATGGACTTCAACTCCCAGAATTCCTCAGGCAGCATGCCTGGCTGAGGAATTCTGGGAGTTGAAGTCCACAAGTCACAAAAGGGCCAAGTTTGAAGACTCCTGATCCAGATGGATCTTGACAGACTTGACACTGGGCCCTATCCAACAAAATGAACTTCAATGTAGAGAAAAGTAAGGCTTTACACTTAGGCAAGACAAACCAAATGCACAGGTACCGATTGGGTGAAACCTGCCTCAAAAGCAGTAACTGTGAGAGGGATCCTGGAGTCCTAGTGGAAAATCCTTAAATATGAGCCAGCCGTGTGGGTCGGCAGCCAAAAACGCTAATGCAATACAAGAGAGGGGATAGAATCAAGATCTCATGAAGTATTAGTGCTGCTTTACAAAGCCTTAGTAAGGCCAGACCTGGAATACAGCATCCAGTTTTTGGTCACCACATTACAAAAAAGATGTTGAGACTCTAGAAAGAGTACAGAGAAGAGCAACGAAGATGATTAAAGAACTGGAGGCTGAAACATATAAGGAACAGTTGCTGGAATTGGGTCTGTCTAGTTTAACGAAGAGAAGGATAAGGGGGGACAGGATAGCAGCCTTCCAACATCTCAGGGGCTGCCCCAAAGAAGAGGGAGTCAAGCTCTTCTCCAAAGCCCCTGAAGGCAGGACAAGAAGCAACGGATGGAAACTAATCAAGGAGAGAAGCAACCTAGAACTAAGGAGAAACTTCCTGACAGTGGGAACAATTAACCAGTGGAACAACCTGCCTCCAGAAGCCGTGAATGCTCCAACACTGGAAGTTTTTAAGAAGAGATTGGACAGCCATTTGTCTGGAATGGTATAGGGTCTCCTGCCCGAGTAGGGGGTTGGACTAGATGACCTACAACGTCCCTTCCAACTCTGTTATACCGTTACTCTGCTTATCACAAACTATAACTAGGGCACGCCCAACATGGAAGAGGTCACTAGTTTTACCTTCATAAGGTAAGGAGGGATAACATTGAAGAAAATGAACATGTATTTGCATCAAAAAAAAAACACAACCGTCTGTGATTCATAAATAAATTAGGTTCTATGTTTCCCTTCGTCAAGCAAGGCCGGGGCATCAGAAGAGTAAAGATGGCTGACCACTGGCCAACTGAGGTGCAGTTAACAATTCTTCCAGCTCAGCTCTTCCCAGCAGAATTATCAGTATTGCACAGCTGACAAAATCAGCTTTGGGAAATGTCTTTCCCTCCAGCCCAGTCTTTAAGCCAGGGGTCTCCAAACTTGGCCACTTTAAGACTTGTGGACTTCAACTCCCAGAATTCCTCAGCCAGCCCTGAGGGCTGGCTGAGGAATTCTGGGAGTTGAAGTCCACAAGTCTTAAAGTGCCCAAGTTTGGAGACCCCTGCCTTAAGCCAAAGCCTAAAAAATCCAATTGCTTTCATTTGTCTGCTTCGCCGCATCCCTAAACATCCAGATCCTGTTTTTCCCTCTTTTACCTTCTGGCTACTTGGGGACATCCTAACAGTTTGCACTTACAATACTGACACACTTTGGGGGAACTTTTCAGTGCAAGTTGAGTTCACGGCATTGTGTCCTAACACAAAGGGAAGGTTATACGGCATCCTTCTCCGCGCTTTCGCCACCTCCCGGAACAGAGGAAATAATTCCAATTTTACAGAAGGGAAAACTAAAACAGGAAACAATCAACTGGCAGAAGATCAGAGTGCAGCCCAGATCACACCAAAGAGGAATTCCAATTTCCTGGCTTTTGGGTCCCGCTCCAAAGCAACAGACCACACACACACACAGAGAAGCAGCTTCTCTTTCTGTGTTCAAAGATGGTTCGTTAAACAAGGCCAAAGAAATGTGTCAACTTTCTTCAACCAACTTAGCACCCGGATGGTTTTGCTGCTTTGAATAACAGGAACAATTCTCTAAGCGTTTACTTGCCTGGAAGAAAATAATATAAATATTTCTCAATGGTTGGGGAAGGGTTTAGTGACTCTCTCCCAATCCCAGTTGGAACTAGGAGATGGGGTAAAGAAAAACCATGACAGGCAGTCCTCCCTCTTTGGCCACAACAGAGCCCAAAATTTCTGTTGCTAAGCAAGACAGATAGTAGTAGTAGTAGTAGTAGTAGTAGTAGTAGTAGTAGTAATAGTCTATTATTGGTACTACCCTTGCTTGCCTTTGCCACAGTCTTTCTACTTCTATTTGTAGGTCTTTGTATTTTGTTATCTTCTCCAGTTCTTTCTCGTCTCTTCTGCTATCATTATTATTATTATTATTATTATTGATCATCGCACAGTCAGCCAGATGTTCAGACTGGATTTGGCATTTTGTCTACCTGTCGAGTCCTTCCCAAGGACCTGGGATAGGCAGATGTGGATGTTTGATGGTATCACAGATCTCGTCGCAGGATGGAAGCAGTTCCTAGTAAGGCTGCCTTTTGCAATTGACTAATGGCGAATTTGTCAATGCCAATGATGGTGTCCAAGTGGTGCTCCAGTTGTTTTGGGATTGCACCCAAGGCGCCTATGACTATTGGCACTACCTTTGCTTGCTTTTGCCACAGTCTTTCTATTTCTATTTGTAGGTCTTTGTATTTTGTTATCTTCTCCAGTTCTTTCTCGTCTATTCTGCTGTCTCCAGGCACTGCCACGTCCACTATCCAGACTTTTTTGTCTTTCTTATCGACAATTGTTAAGTCCGGGGTGCTATGTTGCAGTTGCTTGTCTGTTTGAATTCTGAAGTCCCAGAGCAGTTTAACTTTACAATTTTCTATGACTTTCTCTATTTTATGATCCCACCAGTTCTTGCTTACAGGCAAATGATATTTCTTGCAGATCTTCCAATAGGCGCCTTGGGTGCAATCCCAAAACAACTGGAGCACCACTTGAACACCATTGGCACTGACAAATTCGCCATCAGTCAATTGCCAAAGGCGGCCTTACTAGGAACAGCTTCCATCCTGCGACGAGATCTGTGATACCATCAAACATCCACATCTGCCTATCCCAGGTCCTTGGGAAGGATTCCATAGGTAGACAAAATGCCAAATCCAGTCTGAACATCTGGCTGACTGTGCAATGATCAATAATAATAATAATAATAATAATAATAATAATAATAATAATAATAATAATAATAATAATAATAATAATAATAATAATAATAATAATAATAAAAAAGTTGGAAGGGACCTTGGAGGTCTTCTAGTCCAACCCCCTGCTCAGGCAGGACCCCCTGAGTTTGATTTGAGGTTCTGAGTATGAGATTGTTCCCTTCCCTTATTCCAGACGTAGGCAACCTTGGCCCTTTTATGGCTCGTGGACTTCAACTCCCAGAATTCCTGAGCCAGCCATGCTGAGGGGAAAGGGAGAGGTTTCCAAGCTGAGCCACGCTGGCTCAGGAATTCTGGGAGTTGAAGTCCACGAGTCATAAAAGAGCCAAGGTGGCCTACCCCTGCCCTGGAACATCCATTCTGACCAGGGACGCCTCACCTTTTGCATACAACTCTGTTTAGGATAAAATGAGCGACAGACGACGTATTGTGAGACGCCAACCAGGAAGCATAAGAACAAAATTCTGAGGAAAGATAAACCTTTTGTCCAAGGCGGGAGGCCGTCTGTTCTCTCGGAATAACTCAATATTTACCGTAGGAGCCCGGGTTTTTTTCCTCATAGGTGAAGTGAAGCTGCAGTTGCTCTTCCGGCATCTGACAGATCAAAACTTTCAGCAGGCAGCAAATAAGGAAGAGGGCGTTGTGGGCCTGCCAGATGAAGAGGTGGCTGGAAGAGAAATGGGACTTTCAGGAGCCCAAACAGCAAACACAGAGCAAGAAGACAACCTTCGAGACACAGGCAGCCCTTGGCTTACAACCGCTCGTTTACTGACCGCCCAAAATTTCAACGGCACTGGAAAAAGTGACATGGGGCCCTTTTTTACACTTGCGGCCGTTGCAGCACCTCCACAGGTCACGTGGTCGAAATCTGGACACTTTGGCCCCCGGCTCCGTATTTTGGATGGCCGCCATTGCCCGGGGGCCACGTCGCTACTTCCCACGACCCTCCAACACGCAAAGCGAAAGGGGGAAGCCAGGCTCAGCTTACAACCGGGTTACTAAGAGCGGCAAAAATAATTCACTTAAGAGCTGAGGCAAGAAAAGTCATAAAATGGGACAAAACTCACTTAACGACTCTCTCGCTTAGCAACAGAAATTTTGGCCTCATTTGTAAGTTGTAAGTCAAGGATCTGCATTCATCACGATACGTTCATGACATGAAATGCTCATTTCTTATATCCCTCCCTCCCTCCCTCCCTCTCTATCTATCTATCTGTATCTATCTATCTATCTATCTATCTATCTATCTATCTATCTATCTATCTATCTATCTATCTATCTATCTATCTACATCTATCTATATCTATCTATATCTATCAATTTATATATCTCTCTCTCTACATCTATCATCTATCTATCTATATCTATCAATCTATCTCTCTATCTCTATCTATATCATCTATCTATCAATCTATCAATCTATCAATCTATCTCTATCTATCTATCTATCTATCTATCTATCTTTATCTCTATCTACATATATCTATCATCTATCTATAACTATCAATCTCTCTCTCTATCTCTATCTACCATCTATCTATATCTATCAATCTATCTCTATCTCATCTATCTACATCTAGCTATCATCTATCTGTATCTATCAATCTCTGTATCTCTCTCTCCATCATCTATATCTATCAATGTATATATCTATCCATCTGTCTGTCTGTCTGTCTGTCTGTCTGTCTGTCTGTCTGTCTGTCTGTCTCTATCTATCTATCTATCTATCTATCTATCTATCTATCTATCTATCTATCTATCTATCTATCTATCTATCTATCTATCTATCTATCTATCTATCTACTTTTTTATTTGTTTGTTTATATCGCAACTTAATATTTTTATAAATATCTCAAGGTGGTGAAAATAGCTAATATCCCTTCCCCTCCTGTTTTCCCCACAACAACAACCTTGCAAGGTGGCCTGGGCTGAGAGAGAAAGAGAAGGACTGGCCCAAAGTCACCCAGTTCTCTTCACATTCTCAAGCAGATGCCAGCAGATCGGAGGAGCAGATTTATCCCATAAAATTAGGGAGGCATATAGGGAAAAAGCGGGATCTGGACAGCCATTTGTCTGAAATGGTATAGGGTTTCCTGCCTGAGCAGGGGGTTGGACTAGATGACCTCCAAGGTCCCTTCCAACTTTATTATTATTATTATTATTATTTGACTGAACAGGAAAGTATTGAATCCCAGGCAGTGCACGAAGGGCTACTAGCTGCAGTTCCAAACCTTGACAAGTATGAAGCATGGGTATAATTTCATAACATTGTACAATGTTGTCAGCTTGTCCCTTGCGAGTCGCTTTCTATAATCCATTGTCTATCAAAAAAAAAAAAGAATCTCCCTGAGTGCCTCCTATCTGTGGAGCTGTCAAGCAGAAAAAGTCCCGTGTCTCTAATTCTTTTCATTACTGATGTCGCTGGATGCAATGTGACCTTAGCAACGTGGGGCAGTCAGGGTGGTTAACAGCGTGCAGAACATATGGTAATATTAGTCAAGCAGATACAATTTTAGAGACCGGCAACTCCATTTTTGGAAAGCCACATCCCCAGATGCTGGGAGAATTATGTAGAGTATGTCTGATCGTATCAGACAGATGGAGAGAATCAAGCAGGATGGGATGACAGAATAACAGAGTTGGAAGGGACCTTGGAGGTCTTCTAGTCCAACCCCCTGCTCAGGCAGGAAACCCTAGACCATTTCAGACAAGTGGCTGTCCAGTCTCTTCTTAAAAACTTCCAGTGTTGGAGCATCCACAGCTTCTAGAGGCAGGTTGTTCCACTGGTTAATTGTTCTCACTGTCAGGAAATTTCTCCTTAGTTCTAGGTTGCTTCTCTCCTTGATGAGTGTCCATCCGTTGCTTCTTGTCCTGCCTTCAGGTGATGGAGCATTTGATTTATTTACCTCTTTAAAAAAAAATGGGAATTGGGGGATACCCATTTGGCCTTCCCTGGTTTTAGAAAATGTTACCCTTAAATCAATGCATGTGCTACAGTTTTTGTGTGTTTCCTGCCACAAAACAGTAGGAAGCCTTATCATCACCTCCCAGCAGTTTTGACAGACCATTAATGAAGGACTCAGACTTCATAAAATAATACAATTAGCTGAGCTCCTGAAGCGATCAGCCGGCCCCCTCAGCAGCAACTGCGTGCATTTCAAACCATGGTTGGGTTTGGCATTCGTGTTTTGCAGGAACAAAAATCAGCAAGTAACACAACACACTTACTTCTGACATTCTGCTGAAATCTGTAATTCTTTGGTTCTGGAAAGGAAGACTTTAACCAGCGAAGCAAGGTTTCCTGTCCGAGGATTATTCTCCACTAGGAAGAAGATCAGGAAAAGTTAGGTCATGTTTCAGATTGTACAAGGATTCTATCTAGTTTAAACATGAGATTTGCAAGCCTGTGTCCTCTTACCAGGGTAGGACACTCCAACTTAACAAACAATTTATCTCTTTCTTTGTAAATTTGTTCAGCACATTTACTGAGCTGGTATGGTCAGCCAGGTCTAGCAGGAGATGTTTAGCCATCAAAGAAGCCTCAAGGTGCCATATCTCAAATAGATGAGACAACATGCTTTAAATGAGGAAAAAGGAGAATTCAAGATGTCCCAAAGGTGCTTTTTCAAAAGGCAACTGGACTATCTTTGTGTTTCTTTTAAGATGTTTCTCTTCTCATCCAAGATGCTTCTTCAGCTCTGGATGGTGGGAAATGGAAGGATTTATACTCCTTGCAGACAGCTGGTCATTTGCATCCTTTTAGCATGTCATTTAGGCCACTTGGAGGTTTACCTGTGTCCTCAGGGTCACCTGAGTGGTGCAAATGGGTGTGGAGCCTTCTTGGAACTGCGTTGTAGACTGGAGACAGATGATGTCGGATCCCAGTCTACAACACAGTCCTTTCAAGAGTTACAAGAAAGCTCCACACATATTTGCACGACTTAGGTGACCCCGAGGACACAGATAAACCTCCAAGTGGCCTCAACGACCCTCTAAAACAGGGGTAGCCAACCTTGGCTCTTTTGTGACTCGTGGACTTCAACTCCCAGAATTCCTGAGCCAGCTAAGCTGGCTCAGGAATTCTGGGAGTTGAAGTCCACGAGTCATAAAAGAGCCAAGGTTGACTACCGCTGCTCTAAAAGGATGCAAATGACCAGCTGTCTGCAAGGAGTATAAATCCTTCCATTCCCCACCATTCCAGTCAGAGCTGAAGAAGCTTCTGGGACAAGAAGCGAAATGTCTTCAAAGAAAAACAAGAAAGTCCAGTTGCCTCTTGAAAAAGCACCCACGGGACACCGCCATGACCTGGAGGACTGAGGATCTCCATAGAACATTCAAGATGGAGCTCCTGATATTAACCCTCTCGTTTCCCGTGTCTAATTCTTACATTTCAGACAAAGCCGCATATGGCAGTTTCATAAAATTCTGGCCGTGTCACAGAGCTCAAAAACTATTCATCTGGATCCATGTACTGCAGCAGAGTTCGGAAAGCCCGTTGTTTTGTTCACATTTGAATCACAGGGGGATTTTAGACCGGGTCAAAATGCAGCATTTTGAAGAAGCATTTGACACCAATTATCTAGCACTTTTCATGTCCCGTTTCTGCTTTTATCTCCTACACACATTTTCTTCTGAACAGATGCATTTAAATCCTTTTTTAAAAAGAGAGAGAAGAAAAACAACCTGTTCCTCCACTAGAACGTAATAGAACTGCACCCAAGCCACTTCCTGTGACAGCATGCGACATAAAGCAAAAAGCTGTGAAAAGGTTTGGTTCAAATAGCACATGCGGGCGCAATATGGCTGCTTCGAGCCCTCAAAACAAAGCGTGGGTTTTTTTTCAAGTCTCGTGTGCAGACCACAGATGGGAGACATTAAATGCATCAGAAAGACAAAGGGCTAGGCCAGGGGTAGGCAACCTTGGCTCTTTTATGACTGGTGGACTTCAACTCCCAGAATTCCTGAGCCAGCATGGCTCAGCTTGGAAACCTCTCCCTTTCCCCTCAGCATGGCTGGCTCAGGAATTCTGGGAGTTGAAGTCCACGAGTCACAAAAGAGCCAAGGTTGCCTACCCCTGGTCTAGACCCAAGGCCTAGGGTAGGGGTCTTCAAACCTGGCCCTTTTATGAATCCTGGACTTCAACTCCCAGAATTCCTGAGCTAGCATGGGGGAACTGTGGCTCTTTTAAGACTGGTGGACTTCAACTCCCAGAATTCCTGAGCCAGCCTGGCTCAGCTTGGAAACCTCTCCCTTTCCCCTCAGCATGGCTGGCTCAGGAATTCTGGGAGTTGAAGTCCACGAGTCATAAAAGGGCCACAGTTCCCCCATGCTAGCTCAGGAATTCTGGGAGCTGAAGTCCACAAGCCTTAAAAGAGCCAAGGTTGCCTACCCCTGCTCTAGGCCTAGGGTAGGGGTCTTCAAACTTGGCCCTTTTATGACTGGTGAGCCAGCATGGAGGAACTATGCCCCCCCTCATGACTCGTGGACTTCAACTCCCAGAATTCCTGAGCCAGCATGGGGGAAACTTTGGCTCCCTCATGACTCAGTGGACTTCAACTCCCAGAATTCCTGGGCCATCAGGGGGGAACTATATGGGCCCTTCATGACTGGTGGACTTCAATTCCCAGAATTCCTCAGCCAGCCTGGCTCAGCTTGGAAACCTCTCCCTTTCCCCTCAGCATGGCTGGCTCGGGAATTCTGGGAGTTGAAGTCCAGGAGCCATAAAAGAGCCAAGGTGGCCTACCCCTGGCCTAGACAAGAGAAGAGCAATTTGCTAGGAAAGCTGAGGGAACGCACAGCATGGAAAGGAAGGAAGGGAGGAAGGCCAGGCTGGAGGCAGCCTCTTACCTAAAGACTTGCAGACAGACACAGAAGCTTCTTCCAGGAGTTTCAGCTCGGCACTGAAAACAAAAGAAAAATGTCCGTTAGAGCTGATGCTCTTGAGTTGGGCAAGTTCACCCTCCATCATCCAGGATGAGGTTGTGATGAAGGAGGAGAGTTGAAATGAGGGGTCACAATAACAGACTTGCAGGTCTTCTAATCCAATACAGGTAGTCCTCAACTTACGACCACCACAATTCATCCCAAAATTTGTGTTGTTAAGCGAGACATTTGTTAAGTGACTTTTGCCCCATTTTACCACCTTCCTTGCCACGATTGTTAGGTGAATCACTGCAGTTGATAAGTTAGCAAGACGGTCGTTAAGCGAATCTGGCTTCCCCAATGATTTTGCTTGTCAGAAGGTGGCCAAAGGGATTGCCTGACCCTGGGACACAGCAACGGTCGTAAGTAGGGACCAGTTGCCAAGCACCTAAATTTGGGTCACATGACCGTGGGGCTGCTACCGAGGTCGTAAGTGTGGAAAAGGGTCATAAGCCACTTTTTTCAGTGCCGCTGCTAAGCGAGGCAGCTGTGTCGGTTGCCAAACAAATGAATTTTGATCACGTGACCACGAGGATGGGGAAAAGTCAACGGGGGAGGCAGACTCACTTAACAACCGTTTTATTAACTTAACAACTACACTGATCCACTTAAGCACTGTGGCAAGAAAGGTCATAAAATGAGGCAACACTCACTTAGCAAGTGTCTCACTTAGTAACCTAAATTTTGGGCTCCCTTGTGGTCGTAAGTTGGCAAGTACCTGTATTAGGACACATTTTAGATACGAGGAATAACAACTAGTTCAGTATCACTCTGACCACGGCTAATAATAATAATAATAATAATAATAATAATAATAATAATAATAANGGTCATAAAATGAGGCAACACTCACTTAGCAAGTGTCTCACTTAGTAACCTAAATTTTGGGCTCCCTTGTGGTCGTAAGTTGGCAAGTACCTGTATTAGGACACATTTTAGATACGAGGAATAACAACTAGTTCAGTATCACTCTGACCACGGCTAATAATAATAATAATAATAATAATAATAATAATAATAATAATAATAAAAGTTGGAAGGGACCTTGGAGGTCATCTAGTCCAACCCCCTGCTCAGGCAGGAAACCCCACACCATTTCAGACAAATGGCTGTCCAGTCTTTTCTTTAAAACCTCCAGTGTTGGAGCATTCACCGTTTCTGGAGGCAGGTTGTTCCACTGGTTAATTGTTCTCACTGTCAGGAAGTTTCTCCTTAGTTCTAGGCTGCTTCTCTCCTTGATGAGTTTCCACCCGTTGCTTCTTGTCCTGCCTTCAGGCGCTTTGGAGAATAGCTTGACTCCCTCTTCTTTGGGGAAGCCCCTGAGATACTGGAAGACTGCTATCATGTCCCCCCTCGTCCTTCTATTCGTTAAACTAGACATACTCAATTCCAGCAACCATTCCTTATATGTTTTAGCCTCCAGTCCCCTAATCATCTTTGTTGCTCTTCTCTGCACTCTTTCCAGAGTCTCAACATCTTTTTTACATCCTGGCGACCAAAACTGGATGCCGTATTCCAAGTGTGGCCCTACTAAGGCCTTGTAAAGTGGCATTAATACTTCACGTGATCTTGATTAATGTGAGTGTAAACTGAGGTCTTCCTGCCAGATAGGCAGAAGATCAAGAGAACTGGAGAATCTGGAACTCAGGACTGACCTCTGGGCTCTTCTGAGCTTGGCTGTTTCCTTACAGATGTTTCATTATCCAAACGGGCAACTTCAGCTGACACTGATGACGTTGCCCAGTTGGGTAATGACACGTCTGCAAGAAAATAGCCAAGCTCAGAGAACACCCCAGAGGCAGGAGAAGGACAGATACCATTAACTTAACCACCATCGCCATCATGGTTTCAGCACTTTCCTGGTTTGGCCCATTTCAACACAGTTCAAAAGACCGACTTCATTTGTCCCACATCTACGTCAAGGCTTTATTCTGAAGGGGTTGGTTTTAAGGCTGTCATCCTTGTTGCTCAATAAAGCCAATGCTATTTAATGCAGAAATACCAGTGTGGCTAAAAGCATTGCTCCTTCGACCAAAAATCATTGCTTCAGTGTTGCTTGTTGTCTTCAGGATTGTGCCAGTTTGCAATAAATGACTTTATCCCCAAAAAGTGCGTGTCCCCAAGATCCAGGCCCTGCACAAAGGTTTTCGTGAGAGCAATGTGCTAACAGATAACGGTCGCTTTAGATTCTATCTTGAAAGAAGTCAGAACACTTTCCCACATACACAAAAAAAGAAAAAAGAAAAAAGGGCCCTAGAACACAGTATCAAATAACAGTAAGATGTTTTACTAACATGTAAACATGTGGTAAACTTCTGCAAACAATTGTATCTCGTTTCATCAAATCTGAAAAGGCTAAAAAAATTTTTAATGCATTTATAAAACAGCTGTGCAAGCAGCAACCATATTATCACTGAGCGGAAGTCCAAATTTTACCCAATTCTGGTAACCGCCCATTATGCGCTGATGTCAGGGCCCAATCCTTTGTTTTATATGATTTTACTTTCCTGACAATAGAACTCAAACATCTGAGGAAAGATCGCCTTTCTGTTTGTATGGAAATATATTCTCTTTTTGAAAGAAAAAAAAAACAATCACAGTTTTATTAAGCTTTATTGTAAGATAATAATAATAATAATAATAATAATAATAATAATAATAATTATTATTATTATTATTATTATTATTATTATTAAAAAAAAAAGTTGGAAGGGACCTTGGAGGTCATCAAGTCCAACCCCCTGCTCAGGCAGGAGACCCTATACCGTTTCAGACAAATGGCTGTCCAGTCTCTTCTTAAAAACTTCCAGTGTTGGAGCATTCACCGCTTCTGGAGGCAGGTTGTTCCTCTGATTAATTGTTCTCACTGTCAGGAAATTTCTCCTTAGTTCTAGGTTGCTTCTCTCCTTGGTTAGTTTCCATCTATTTTGCTTCTTGTCTTTGCCCTCAGGCGCTTTGGAGAATAGCTTGACTCCCTCTTCTTTGGGGCAGCCCCTGAGATATTGGAACGCTGCTATCATGTCCCCCTCGTCCTTTTCTTCATTAAACTAGTATATATATTATATATATAATATACAAACAAAAATGAGTAAAGTTAAAAAGAGAAACCTGCAAACCTTTAGAAAAGGCTAAAGAAAAGAACGAAAAAAGGGATTGCTGACATTTTTCATTTCAACAGAATACAAAAAGAATCACAGCTTCCATCGTCCGCTTTGCATATCTAACTAGTTCGAGCCATTTTTATAATAACAAAGTCGTCCTAATCATCAAAATCTAGAATTACAGTTTCCTTTTTTTTCCAGTTTCAAGTACAAAATCCAGAAATGGTTTCCAGAGAGAAACAAAACTAGGTAATTTCTTCTCTTTACCTAAAACAGTCAATTTTGCCATCTCCGTCAACTCCATCACCTTAATTAGCCCTTCCTCCATTAGCCTTCCCTCCCATCTTTGTGCATGCAGATAGTCCTCAATTTATGACCGGTCGTTTAGTGATCATTTGAATATACAACAGCACTGAAAAAAGGTACCTTAAGACCGTTTTTCACACTTACGACTCTTGCAGCATCCCCAGGGTCACGTGATCAAAATTCAGATGCTTGGCCACTGACTCACGTTTATGACGGTCGCAGTGTCTCCCTGGGGTCCCCTTTTGCGACCTTCTGACAAGCCAAGTCCATGGGGAAGCCAGATTCACTTAACAATCGTGTGACTCACTTAAGAACTGCAATCATTCATTTAACAGCTGTGACAAGAAAGGTTGTAAAATGGGGCAAAACTCACTTAACAACTGTCTCACTTAGCAATGGAAATTTTGGGCTCAATTGCTGTCGTTAAGTCGAGGGCAACCTGGGTAAGATTCTCGCCACTGTTAACACATATAGTAATAAAGTTCCAAATGTCCATCAAACCTAAGAGGAAATCTTCTGGTTTACATTTCTTTGAATTAGGATAAAAATCTGATTTCCAGTCTTCTTCTGTTTCGTTAAGATCACGTGAAGTATTAATACCACTTTACAATGCCTTGGAATGCTGCATCCAGTTTTGGTCACCACGATGTAAAAAAGATGTTGAGACTTTGGAAAGAGGGCAGAGAAGAGCAACAAAGATGATCAGGGAGCTGGAGGCTAAAACATATCAGGAACGGTTGCTGGAATTGGGTCTGTCTAGTTTAACGAAGAGAAGGACGAGGGGGGACAGGATAGCAGTCTTCCAATATCTCAGGGGCTGCCCCAAAGAAGAGGGAGTCAAGCTATTCTCCAAAGCGCCTGAAGGCAGGACAAGAAGCAACGGATGGAAACTCATCAAGGAGAGAAGCAACCTGGAACTGAGGAGAAACTTCCTGACAGTTAGAACAATTAACCAGTGGAACAACCTGCCTCCAGAAGCGGTGAATGCTCCAACACTGGAAGTTTTTAAGAAGAGACTGGACGGCCATTTGTCCGAAATGGTATAGGGTTACCTGCCTGAGCAGGGGGTTGGACTAGATGACCTCCAAGGTCCCTTCCAAGACGAGGCCCTGCGCTCTGCCCCAAATTCTCAGGATGTGCTCGAAGAGGTCCGGGTAGGTGGCTCCGATTTTCTCACCCAGAACCAAACGAGGAACGGGCATTATTCCTTTCGTTTTCACCATCACTTGGAGGGTTAGGCGAGAAGGTATATTGTGTAACACGCAAGTGAACATCGGGGGAAATGTTCATGGTCACCCACGGCCATTTCCCTTGAGTGGGCCAAGAAACTGCGGCTTCCTCTATTATGGCGCAACACACCATTCTCTATACAGATAGTCCTTGACGTATGACCGCAGCGGAGCCCAAAATTTCCGTTGCTAAGCGAGACAGTTGTGACACGAGGTTTGCTCCATTTTAGACCGTTCTTTCCACCGTTGTTAAGTGAATCACTGCAGTTATTAAGTTAGTAAAACCGTTGTTAATTGAACCTGGCTTCCCTGTTGACTTTGTTTGTCAGACGTTCGCCAAAG